TTTTTTTTCCCAATATTTCTAGCCATATTTCAGACACTTCAGCATTCCCCAATAGGGCTACGTCTAACTCGTTTGGATGAAGAACTTGGCGCCGATCTCAGGGAGCATGGTCTTGCCGGAGTGAATGTCATGACTTACACGATCGAGAAGAAGCTAACAGCAGAGTGGGTTCTTACCAAAAAAAAAATTTCATGACGCCTCATATTTGAGCTGATCTCCTCATAACAAACTAACCTTGTTCCAAAAGCTCTGGCGTGATGTTCGGTTATGCTTCGATATCATCTGATATTCGAGATATCAAGCATCAAACGGATTGTGAGTTATTAAGGCAAATGAAAGCTCAGTCAAAACCGTTAACACCCATTGCTAAGGCATTTGTGAAGCGCCAGGATGGCGCTCTAACGAACTTTAGAATAAATGTGTGGAAAGTGGTCTGTCGCTCGGCTATAGATAAACTAGTGAGTGATGCTCCAATTTGAGTTTATCCATAAACGGACATCAAAAAAATGTGGATGTTAATTTTAAGCAGTGAACTAACATTGAACAATGCAAGCAAATATGATTACACATCAGTTAAATCTAATGGGCAGAGTGTTCTTTGAGGATAGTTTTTCTATCGCATTAAAAAACAATTATCAAAATGCTCAAAATGCTAGAACGTGGGCGTAGATTGTTGAATGTTCGGCACCTTTTCTCAAATCTCTATGTCGCTTTACTGAGGTAGTGGTTTCTTCATGGAACTAATGGCCAGAGTGTCCCAAAAAATTTGATTACATTTGGTAATAACGCTTTTATTTATAGATCTTTTTCTCCTTGATATTCATTTCGAAAAGCTAGCTTGAACCCAGTCTCCGTTCATAAACGAATCTTCTATTTTTGGCGACTAGGGTTACAAGCTAAACAGATGCCCTTAGTATCGTCACCCACCGTAACTTTGCTATACAACTTAGGCATCAAATGATTATCGTATATAGGCTCGACTTACTTGGTTTTATCAGACACGTTTCAAACTTTGTTAATACTAACTTTGGAAGTGCAAAGCCAAGTTTAAGCCCATCCTTTAATATGCGCGTAAGTCTTAACACAGATCTTGGGATAAAAGAAGGTCTTGCACAGGTTTTAAAATAAAAGAGTTAATAGTAATTCAGTAGCTTGCACACTTGTACTTCAAAGCCTGCTTTTCACCGTTTGCGAAAACAGTGAAGTATTCTTGATTAGTTTTTTTACAGTTCACAGTAGCTCGAGAAAGCTTCAACTTGAAAATAGTTTGAAGTGAAGCCATAATTAATTTATGTTTTACATAAAGTCCTAAGCAAAGCTGACAAACACTCTCACCATTTCAATAAACACAAAGTAGAGTCGAATGTGATGAAATTCTATGATGAGTAGTTTCAGGATAAGCTGTAGCCCTGAAGGAATCACTTATAATAGTTAATTAATTTGAATGAAAGACTTTATTCCACGTTTACTTCTTTAAACTAGCTTTACGCAAATTCCACATCATAAACAAGAACCATATGAGCAGAAAATTTTATGAGCATTTCTCCACTAAGTTGCCTGCATTACGGAGGAAAGCGAGGGCAATGCTTTACAAACGTGTCGTTATAAATGGGTTGCATTAGTATTGTTAAATCTTTTCTCCACATCGCAGTTTTATAATAGCGTTTGTAATGAACATTCGAAGCTTTTAGAGCATTTCGTTCAGTGTCGGCTGCAATTTTTCCCTCTAATGTAGAACATTTGACATCAAGAATTCTCCATAATACACCAACAAGTAGCTGAACATAAGATTGAGTTTACAAAAACAGTAAACTAAGGGAAAAAGTTCGCTTCTATTATAAAAAAGTATAAATTAGTTTTTTCAAGATGAGTTAGATTCGAAAGCAGAAATTGAGAAATGAAAGCCAATCTATGCATTTTTCGAAACATTCCTGCGGTCATTTTCCTGGTTTCGAGATAATGTTTTTGACCTCCAAAATGAAACAAATAAAATCACGAGCAATCTTTCGTTTGAGGAAAAAACAAATTGTTGTAGTTAGGTGTAAGGCGGAGAAGATCTAGAAAAGAACTGTGCTATTGACTTTAGCTTGCAGGAGCTTAAGCGCTGTGCTAATGGTGATTGTACGATGGCGCACGAAGGCAAAACTTGGAGCAGTGAGACGTCATCGGATAGCTAACATGCAGATATTGGAGACGGGAAAAGGCATCGAGATGACTATGCAGAAGCGACGAGCTGCAATGAACCATGCTTGACAACTGAGCTAAACGATGGAAGAATGGTTTGATATTTCTCGGAAGATCTCATACTTTTATTTATCTGTTGAATACAATTCGCAAGCAAAGTGTCCTTGATATGCCGTGTACATGCATGAACTTTGATGTTTTGAAAACTTCTGCACTGTGATACAAAAACGCATTGAGATTTAAAATTTAATTGACATAAAATGTTCACACATCTTTGAGAGCGTCACCTCAACTTGATACAAAATCACAATACAAAATAAACAAAATAAATACCGTACTGCAGTGAAGTCGCGCGCAAAAGTAAAAGAAAAAATGAAATGTTCAGGAAAAAAATTCTTTATACATATGAGTGTCATGAAAGGTACGAAGGCGACCTCTATAACAAACACAAAAGAGAAACAGTGAACTAGACACACTGAGAGTTCCTTGGATCGAAAATAATCAAAAAGGAAAGTTTAGCGAGCACAATCGCCTCAAGACCCTCCTACCTGATAGAAACGGTGCCTAGCCTACCTAAGGCGCACTAAGCTACAACGCAGCACACAGAAAATCACAAAGAAAAAATTTGCGCAGTGTTATCCGAGATAAAAACTGATGTGCTCAAATGAAATGAAATAAACTACAATGAGAACGGAAGATCGTCACAGTTATTGCAATTTGCATTAGCGGCGACCGACTTCTACTC